GAAGCACTCGTTCAAAGCCACACAGCTAATACGGAAGGTGGACAAGATTGGGTTTGAACTTAAGCAACTGTATAACTACTATCCCACATCTTCTAAAAAAAACAAACAGGTTCTAGGGTCCAAGATGGAGACTTAAACAATGTACTAAGAATTAAGCTTTGTATCGGTTTCCAAGATTCAGAATCTAGGCATAATATGATTGTGAAAATGAGGCTCAGTATCTTTGAAAAATGCCTACTTTTTCTGCCCTCTTCCCTTTTTATGGCCCAACATCCTGACCTCATGCAATGAGTGTGCACTTGGATATCAAGTCTGCAAGTTAAACACACACACACACACACACACACACACACACACACACACACACACACACACACACGAATGCAGTTCCTGCCACACAACTGGCTGCTCTAATTGCTTTTATTAAGTTTAAATTGTCAAAAAGGTTACCCGGGGAACAGAGTCTTCTTTTGCATTTTCTAGAGTCACTACAAACAAATAGCAAGTGGTTTCTTGCAGCTATCCAACTTATGACTGCTGGGAAGTTGCAGGCTGAGATCTCCTCATCCAATGTTTCTATTCACTATGCAAAACCATATTCTCAGTTCCTGATCTCCATAAGTAATAAAATAATACAAGAGTTGGAAATAGATGACTCAGAAGTTCTTCCATCAGATGAGACTCAATCCTGGATTACGTGCTGGCTCTCTTGTGTCTGATTTATCTAAAGGCTGATGGGGAAGGGTTTGGGATGTGTCAGTCATGGGAACAAAAATGGGACAGGAATAAAGCAGCAGGCAGTATGGTATAAGATGCTGGATCTGCCAGCAAGGGGAAGAGAGGTGTTTTGCACTTTGGAAGGCAAGGAAGAAAGCTGGGAGTCATGCAAGGAAGAATAGGTTGTCTGGCACTGATGTATTTGGTTCTAAGAAAGCCAGTGCCTTTTTGTATTTCTTAAAATCGCCCAGGGTGGTTCTATACCACTAGCACTGAGAACCTCTAAAGTAACAAAAGCAGAATAAGAGTAAGAAATGTGAATGTGAAAGCATGAGATGGGTTCACCATTTATCAGTAACTTAGCTTTTCTAGTCTGTTGTACAATTCACAAATGATGCATTTATAATATATAAGTAAGCACAGCAAATGATGAGAAATGATAAGCACCATTAAAAGAATAAATTGAATCTTGGAGGGTCTCTGAATGTGAAGGAAATTGCACCACTGCCCTGGGGTAAAGAAAGAGCTTGGGAAGGCTTTTAGTGGGATGCACCTATTTCAGCCATAAATAAGAATATTCGTATGAATGCTAAACCCAGTTCAAGTGATTGTAAATTTCAAAGACCATAAACACAAATATAAAAAAAATCCAATTTTCTTACATTTTTTTTTCTTCTCACTGCCCTTACTTTCTGACTCAAAGATCTCCCTCTTTTCCAGGCAATAGAAATTTTATCTAGTGCATTTCCAGGTGCATTCAGCCCACTCTGGGGAAATGCAGCCAATTTAGGGTTGAGATTGGGCAGTTCAGGATTTTCAGTCCTTTAAGGGCTGTGGCTTAGGTACCATTAAGCAATGGTCTAGGGATGTCACAGGTCTGCAGGCATCCTTGAAGCTTCTTGGCATCCTGTGTGACATCTGTCAGATTCTTCCTCTTCATATATCCTCTGCTGGTCTCTTTCAATGCCCTACCCTGGGGCATGGGGAAAGTTCAGGATGCTGCCTCCATTCCTCTGGCTCTTAGAGACAAGATCTAGACACATTTTACACAATGGTTATGCTCACTCTGTCAAATACATAAAAGATGTAGATCTTAGCTCATCCTCCTACCTAAAAACTCTTTCTTCAGATGTGCTGGAGTTTCTCTCAATTGCCTCTTCATAACTGGAAACTGTTAACAGGGAAGGGAAAATGGGGTTGTCCAGAGGCAAAGCTGTGGCTACTTCCTTCTGGGTGTCTCACAACCAGGACCAACCCCTCTTGAGTTCCAGAAATGAGAAATTCTTACTTCTGCTCAACTACCTCAAAATCTACCATTTATTGAGCAGGCTTCAGCTTTTGATGTTGAGCAAAATAAAACAACAAAAACAAAATATCAGCATTAGCAGGCACACACACACTCATACCCTTGTCGTTTCTCTAAGCTTCCTAAATCAGGCCTGTAACTCTAAGGGAGGGATTAACTTAGCTCTTTCTGAATAGCATTAGCATTATCAGTAGACACAGGGCAAAAAGTAAATGATAAATGCTACAAGTTACATCCTCATTTAAAAGAAGATGAATTTTGTTTGCAAGTATTTTATGATAAAGTCTATAACAAAATTGTTAAAGAAATATGAACATATATAACTTCTGTAGTTATCAAATGCACAAAAGTGATTTTTAAAACTTTAAAAAGAAGAAGGGGGCATTCATTGATATTGTGTGGAATGTTAGGAATTTTACAATAAAATCAGGCAGGCTGTTCTTTTTTTCTTCTTTTTCTTTTCTTTCTTTCTTTTGTAAAAAACACAAAATGCTCTGATATTTAGAACTTGTATCTGGTCCATATATTTCTAGTTCAAGCTGAGTATTACCAACTCATGGACCACAATGGGATGCTGTAATAGGAAACATGCCTCCCACACAAAGGTAAATTTTGCATGTGGCCCTACCCTTAGCTACATCATTTCAACATTGCTGGTGTTCAGACCACTGAGCCAGGTGAAGTTATGTAAAGCACTCTCCAAATCCTAGTGTCCCCAGTGACTGTTCCTGAAGACATTTTTATCTCTCTTAGGTAAGCCCTTGTCTTTCATGATTAAATAATAGACTCATTGGTAGCCATGGGGTGCCTTTCCTCTAGGATGTTGTAAAATAGTTGCATCCCTTGGCTAGAAGGCCAGGGTAATTTTGTTCGGGGGAGGAACAGAACACCACATGCTTGAGATGTGACAGAACAAATGTTTGCTAATTTTCTGTTTAGGGATTTTCAGTTTTCCACTTGAGTTGCTGCTGCTGAAATGAGAATTTTCACATTTTGAATATGCCATAATTTATGCAGGAGACATTCAGTAATGACTACAGCTAATGCCAACTGTAAAATTAGCCAAATATCCTTGGGTCCAAAAAAATGAATGCTAAAAACAATAGCTAATTGAGCTGTTTCAGCTCTTTTTTTTTTCCAGAGACAGAAGCCCTCATAAAATAGATCCACAGGAAATTGCAGGCATTTGTCATCTGTATCGTCTCATATAAGAGTTCCCATGCTGTCTTGCTTCAGGTCCAGGACTTAAGAGATGTGACATACAAAAGGGGAGAAGAAAAATATATCAGGAATAGGAAATGAATTCATGCTCATCCATACTGTGCCTGCTCTACTCCAACCATGCCTATGTGGGAGACATCCAGTTTTATACTGAAAACTAGAAAAGCAGGAGACAGTGTCCAGAAGGGGAATTCCAAGACACTTGAAGTCAAGATTTCTCACTTCTGTCTCAGTGCTCTAATGGCTACTTTAAAAAATGTTTACTAAAGGGTCCAAAGTATAAACCATTGGACAGTGATGCCTGCTTCCTCTGATCATGGCCACTGAAAGTCTAGGTATGTTCGACATCACACTCAAATTCAGCATGGGTTTTAGGAAACATTCTTCAAAAGGATGCAACCCAGACAGATGCCTAAGAGACAGGAGAAGGAAACAAGAATTTGGTCCAAATGATATTTATAATCCGTTCTTGTATCAGAGGTTCACAACCTTAAATGTACTGAATATAACAATGAATAGTGAGTTATGTCTGAACTCAAGCTGTGAACTCCACAAGCTGCTTTGGACTTTTCACCTACATCATGATCATAAAAGTCAATCTAAGGGCTGGGAAGTAGCACAGTGCAGAGAGATAGCCAGGCATTCACAAAGCTCTAGGTTCAATCTCCAACGCCACTACACACACAAAAATAAAACACAATAAAAGTGAATTTCAGACAACATAGAGAGGGACACTTACAGTGATAATAGAATGACTGGTTTGTGACTGGCCTTTCCATCAAAATGGTTATCAAACTGAAGTTGGTGAAACGGAAAATAAAGGAGCTTGCTGCCAAGTGTGATGACCTGAGTTCAATCCCAGTGACCCACATGGTGGAAGGAGACAATTGACTCCTTCAAGTTCTCCTTTTATCTCCATGTGTGTTCTGTGGAACACACTTGCACACACACAAACATAAGCAAACAATTAATAAATGTATTTTTGATTTAAGTTATCAAACTATAAATTTTTCTTGAGACACAAGACTTCAGGGGTTTCACATTGGGCAAAGTACAGTTGGACTCACTAAACGGAAGACTCATAGGCAACAATCCCTGCTCCACCAGTTTGCTGTTTGGAGGCAGGTTCAGAATGAGTAGAGCAGGTGCTTTTCACTGAGATAAGGATGAAGGAAGCATACAGCTCACATGTCATACACCTGCAACCTGTAAGGAAAATCTCCAGAGAACAGAAAGCCTTTTCAGGCCTCGGGTCCACAGGGGTATTCTCTTCAATTTCTTACCACCAGCTATGACTTTAATACATATGCCATCTATTTTCAGCTTATATACACCAGCCCCATCCTATCCACATAGTAAACTTGAGGGGTTTCAAATGGTTTTAGGAAATCTCCACTCCATGGTGATTCCTTGTCACTTAGTGTTGAGGTTGGGACACAGGGTTTCACCACAGTAAGTGAATGTTCCACCACTCATCTTGAATCTCTGTCTTATACAATCTATTCCTTATAAGGTGTTTGATTTTTCCCCCATTTTTATTAGTGTATATTAATTCTGGCAAATTATAGGTTGCATCATGACATCTTCATACATGTCATAAATACTTTTGTTATATCTGAGCATTTAATCCCTGGCTGAGAATGTTAGAACCTTGCTTATCTCTCCTGGTGGTCCGCCTATAGTATGTTTCCCCAAAATGCTTGCCATGAAATTTTCACTGAATATTTCTTTACCAGTAACATCTCCAAAACCACAGTTTTCCAGATCCTTTGACCAAAGAAGAATGGTTCCTTGGACTACAGCCTGGATCTGCTGGACAGCTTTCTACTGCTTCAGGTACTCTTAAAATTTGAAAGCTTCCCCGCAGCCCACTACAAAGGCAGGAGAGACATTCCCGTTTGGGTTTTAATGGGTTTACGGTAGGGAATGGAAGTTTTCTTACTATTAGAAAGGAGATCTCAGTTAGCACTGAAATTCTACTAAGCTTTATTGCTTTAATAGATCCCTGAATTGTCATGTTTGGTGCTCAATCTCTGGAAAACACAAGTCCTCCTAAGGCATTCAGGATCCCTGCCATCACCTCCTTATCTTCTCTGATTAATTACTATGTGCTTATCACTGCCATGAGCCAGTAAGGTGTTCTGTGTAACAGAGAGAAGGGGAGGGACTGACAGAGCATGGGTGGATATCAGAGGATAACTTGTGGGAGTCCATTCACTCCTTCTACCAGGTGAGTACTGGAAACTCATTCAAGTTGTCAGGCTTGGTGTGGAAAGTGTCTTTACCCACTGAGTCATCTCAGCAGCTCAGATCTTTTCACCTCACTGGGTCATTAGCCATTGTTTTACCATCCTTTTAGGTGCCATCCTCAGGGTATGTTTGCCCATTCCCTGAAGATATTACTCGGGTGCTAAAATTCATTTCTGAAAAGAAAGCCCCAAGTCAATAAATTCCAACGTATCTGGTCTCACTTTTTATTTTTTTTTCTTTATTGAAAGTCTGAAGCAGGAATACTCTGCTGGCTCATGTCAGCACATACCAGGACCTTCCAGTACATTCTCACAGTTGTTCCCATGTTTACTTGTTATTCCTTCGGAAAGCATGGGCACTTTCATCATTTAAGAAAACATATTGCAAGCTCCCCATGCTTCCATAAATAAGAGTCAACTTTATTCCTTATTTCTCTAGACTTGAAACACACAAGTGCCTTGAGAATCTGCTGAGCAGCATAGAGCAGCTCAGCCTTATACAGCTGTAGCTTACACAGAAGCACAGTGGACAAGAAGTGAGAAGAGTGTACAGGAAGTGAGGAGAGTGGATAGGAAGAGAGGAGATTGGAAGTCTAACCTTGTCTCTGATGAGTTTCAGTTTTCTTAGCAAAACCCCAGATTGCTGTGTGTACACTCCCCTCAGATATGCCTAAATCTGACCTAATATAACTTGACAATACTGAAAAGTAACTTGTCTAAAACACTTCAGCCAGTGGAACTGGCTTTTTTAATAGTTACACAGAGCTGCCTCTTGCACCTTGTAATATCAAATTATCTAAGTGCAAATGTCTACCAATTGATGTATAATTAAACATGGAGCATCTTAGTATAGAATGCAAAAATTTTAACTATACTAAGTAAAATTTCATTAATATGAAGAAATTTTTATTTCACAAAGTAAAATTACATACTCTTTAAAAAGAAATGCACACTTTCACAGTAGAGCTTAACTATCAGTCTGACTGGGTTCGAGATCACTTAGGAGACACACTTTTGAGTTTGTCTTTGAGGGTGTTTCTGGAGAAGTTTAACATAACACATGGGGTAGGGGAGCACTCATCAGAGTGTGCAAGGTCCCAGACACTGGATGTCCCTAGAAGTAGCATGTCTAGTCATCTTCTCTGGACCATTTAGAATCAGTCATTCTTTGTAGAAAGAAACAGGATCATAATGTTAATGTCAAATTTTGGCAAGACCCAAATCCAGGTCAGTTCAACCTGTACAAACAGCAGCCAAAGCTTCAGACAAAGGAAACATTATGAGCTACTATTAGAACACTCATAACACATTTACAAGGATCAAAGCCAAGATCTTATTTCCCTACAAATAAAACAAGTGCTGACTCAGAGAAAATTCAGCATGTGTCTGGAAGATACAGGGAAAAGGATGAAATGCAGATCACTTCATCAGGTTTCACACTGATGGTTAATTTGGTATGCGAAAGAAACTATGAGGCACAACTCATTTTAGGATTTTCTCCCATATTTTATGCATCAGCTTCTAAATAAAATAATAATAAAAATGAATATATGTGAATATGTTGGATAGTTCCGGCCTATTGACTAGCACCAGTTTTGTATGTTGGCAATGTCTCCATAGTTTTATAATCACTGTCTCATCTGTTTTTCAGTCTTGTAACAACTCTATAAAGTAGAATTTTTTGGAAAGTTTTTTTAAAAATTTTATCTTATTTTATGTGTATCAGTGTTTTGCTTGTATGCATGTATATGTGCCGTAGCATGCAGTTCCTGTGGAGGCCAGAAGAGGACAATGGATTCCCTAGAGTTAGAGCTACAGACGGTAGTGAGTCACCATTCGGATGCTGGGAACCGAATTCAGATGCTCTGCAAGGACAGCAAGTGCTCTTAACCACTGAGCCATCTCTCCAGCCTCTAAAGTGGGGTTTTTCTAATATTAATTTTATGAAAAATTGAGCACATTAAGACCCACTAAATAACCCTATTACAAACTATTTATTACTCATTTTAAGCTTCATTTTGAATATCTTATGAAGTGTTTGTAGTAGGCATGAATTTTACTTTATAATACAAGAATAAGAAACTCCCAGTTGTTTTATTTCTCTTAAAACAAATATTCTTTACTATAGAAATTTCAATTTTAGTTGAGGGTTTTTTTGTTTTTTGGTTTTGGGGTTTCTTTTTGAGAGGAAAAAGAGAACCTCCTTACCTCCCTAGTTACATACAATATGGAGGTTCAGACATTACACAGACGATGTGAAATGTGCCATGCTAGCACAGTCCCTTGAAAATGGATATCCTTGCTCTCATTCATTGAGTATGGAAGGCCCTGTAAAAGCCAAGGTGCTGAGAGCTGTGGTGCTGTCCTCCCAAGCACACCATAGAGCTCTTCTGGATGAACACAGCCATTGTTCTTGGTGAGACAGGGGTGTTGTTATCACTTTCCATCCCAGAACTCTCCTAGAATCCGACACAGTGTGTGCTCTGGTGATCCCTGAAGTTCCTCACATCTGTGTCACTCTTGAGCATCTGCTTTGGCTGTTGACTCAACTTCTGTTATCAGAGAAAGAACAGGGCTGCCTTAGCCTGCTGAAGCAGGAAGAATAGCCATATCCGGCAGTTTCCAAGGGGAAGCACTCAGGTGGTTATTTGCTTGAAGAACTGCTCCATGACATCCAAAGACAAGTAGAATTAAAAACCCAAGGGTGAGAGGACTTAGTGCTTTATCTTGCATGACTTCCTTATAAAAACATGAGCTGTTTCATGAGACTCCCCCCCCTTAAAACAACAGAAAACCTTCAGCCGTTTCCCCAAAGGAGGGTTTTTTTTTTCATATAAGGCTTAATGAATCCATATCATAGAAGCCTCCTTCTGTGCTCAGAGTATAGAAACTACTAAATTTTTTAACACAAGAACCTCTTATGCCTTTGCCCAGCTTCTAGAAAATACCAGCTGCTGAATCCTTGCAAATCAATCTTAAATAAAAGAGAGGAGGGGGGACTTGGTGCATAAGGCAAAGGAGTATCAAGTGAAAATACAATTTAAGATAAAAACACTGAATAAATTACTACATGTTTTCTTTTTAAATAACCCTAACCTTAGAAAGCATTCTCAGTAACTTTCTAAGAAACCAATGAAAATAGATGCTCCCTTACCTGTGGCTCTCCTACCTCTCCTACTCATTCAGCTGCCCACTCTATTTTTCTTCCAATACTTACAGAATCATTTCCAAAAATGTCTCTGTGCTAGTCAGCTTTAATAGAAGCACTGGTGACATTTTTGTCTCTTGGGCAGCATATTAGAAAATGCATAACACTCATGTCCATGACCTTCCATTGGTATGTAAGAGCTAAGAAGGCAACATCCACGGAATGATGTTGAATTCCAGCATGGTACAGACTCTTCAACTGGAGGTCAAAGACCATGGAACTGATGTAGTGAACAACAGTCTAAGCCACAATTTTTTCTTCATTTTGAAGAAAATGGTTACAAATTATTTGGGGATTGCATTATGGAAAATAATAAAAATTGTTTTACATGTTGTAATAACAATGTGCAAGTTTAAATGTAAGAAAATAAGGCATACTGGCCAGAGATAATGGCACATGCCTTTAATTTCAGCACTTGTGAAGCAAAGGCAGGAACATCTTTGTTAGTTCAAGGCCAGGCCACTCTACATAGCAAGTCCCAGGACACCAAGATTACATTGTGAAATTCTGTCTCAAATATAAATAGATAGATAGATAGATAGATAGATAGATAGATAGATAGATAGATAGATAGATAGATAGATAGATAAACAAATAAGGCACACTAAAAATCAGCTATAAAAATTATTTAAAGGAATTTCTTGGAAACAATTTTATAGTGCAAAAAACCCATCTTAGTTTTCTTTCATGGCACATTTCACTCTTTTATGTGTGCTGTATAGCAATTCACTCTATTAAAGAAAAACTTTCCATCTTGAATGAAAGCTAGTAAAAACAGAAGATGTTCTAAAGAGAGAGAGGTGAAATACTCCATTTAGCATGTAAGTCCTTTAAAACTGAAGAAGTAAACAATGTAAAATTTCAGGAAGTCCCTGAAACTGACCAGATTCTCTAGGCCTAGCTCTTCTCACTTGTGTATAAGAAGTGAGGACAGCTAAGAGTCAATCTCAAATAAGCAGAAGTGCCTACAAGAGGCACATTCCAGCCAAGCTGCCTAAAAGAGACATTCTCCAACCTGTCGAACTGACTACAAGTTATGCAGTGTGCTTTGGGTTTCCTGATTTCATGAACTGTCACCATACTGGGGTGAGATTTCATGATTAATCTGTCCTTGAGTCATTTCTGTTCCTGTAAGCAACCCTTCACCCATATTCCTGTAAGTCACCCCAGTAAAATACACTAATTAGCCAAGTTGGACTTTGGAGATATTCTAACTTTGGTCTGCCATTCAATTCCCTCTCTAGGGTGAGTAGACATTTGTTCATGTCTCCCCAGGAAGAGTGCTACCAAACAGTGTTTTAGAATGTCATAGCAGAGTTCTCACTGTTACAGTGTGGGGAAGGGATTATCTAAAACATTTGTCTTGGAGAGAAAGATAAGACCTCAGGAATAGGTCAACATGTCTGAGAGGTTCACTCAGAGGGACTCTGAGATAGCCCTACCAAGGCCATCTACCAATAGTATATAAATGTGACCTCATCAAGATGCCTTCACTACTGGTACTTACTGATACAGAAATAAACACCAATTCCTTCTTTTCTCACTCTATTTAGACAGGAGCACCCTTGACCCTTTCTTAATAGATGGTTTTCTTCAAAATGCACATGTAGTTTGAGCCAATTACTAGCAACTTGTGCTTCTGTTTCTCCTATTACAGACACGCTATTCCACAGCAGACCCGGGACTCTGCAGTGCATGGGAGGGATGTAGTGACTGTCACCACAGGAGCTGAGAAAGAAGAGGAGGACAAAGGCATATTTAGGGTAAGTTGGAAATGTTTTGCAAAAACATGAGTAATGGAGGAGGAACACACAAAGATGACTGTGGCACAGTGAACACCCCCAAAAAGGCTCACAGTGAAGGGAAAGAAGCAGCTATGTAAACACATAATTGCAGGACAGTGCTATACTGTGTTAAGTGCTTAAACGCATCATTGAAGCCTGCAACTTCAATTAAGAAAGCTGGTGGGCTAAGGCCTCTTACTGTTGAGAATGACAGTGACAAGACATGATCTGCAACCCACTTGGTACGACATCCCACCAGCTCCTGCCAGGCCTAAAGAGCATTCCCTTGTCCTTGGTTGACCTGTCTGTGTCCATGTGAAGAAAAAAGCTTTCTTTGACAATATCCATCAAGCTTCTCGGGGTTTGTGGTTTGTCTGGTTTCACTAGAGTTGGTACTATGCCATTCCAAAGACAGGAAATAATAGATTCATTTCTTCAATTGGAGAGACAGTGTACAGTTTAAAGATGGTTTATTAGCTTCCAGTTTATGATACACAGGAGTTATTTGGGTGCATAACTCACCTGCTGGGTCCAGAAGCAGCCTCATAAACCTCAGCAGCACTTCCTCCCCCACCTTTTTTACTAAATAGAAAGTGGCTGTACAGTTCCAGCCCAGTTATATATGATGTTAATAAATGTGCCACACACACTGTCTGCTCCTTTAAGTAACTCTGCTAACCTGGACATATTATCAGCAATTTATGCCACTGCAGAGTCTGAGGGGTTGTGGGAAATGATTTTGGAGATGGAATTAGACCTGCTCTCTCTCTACATTTCAGACATGCCATAAGGAAAACTGAACAGCAGGGCTTGTAAAGAATTAAAGGATAAAATAACAAGAGTAGCACAGTGGAGAGAACGTTGTACAACTTTGTCAATATGGATGATTTCCAATCAAGCACTGGCTATAGATTTCTTGTTGTGATTTTAAAACTCTCTCATGAAACTTAGTATGTTACACACTTTTTGTACTCTGTAACCTGTCTTGGAATTGTGCTTAGTTAAATAAAACCTATTATTCAGCTGTTTAATGATTATTTATTAAATGTATAACAACTAATCTGCAAAGTGCCCTAGGCCAGGGACTCTATGTGAATGACTGTCTCTGGAATCCAAAAGATAGATATAGATATAGATATAGATATAGATATAGATATAGATATAGATATAGATATAGATATAGATATAGATATAGATATAGATATAGATATAGATATAGATATAGATATAGATATAGATATAGATATAGATATAGAGTATATAATATTATCTTAATGTATGGTATAAATAATGTCTTACTATTCATAGATGCTGTTTAGATTTTTGCAGCTACATCTGGAGGGAAGAGCTCATGGTATAAACATGGGCACTAACTCAGGTGACTCTAAATATTAAATCATCCAAACAGAAGGAAACAGAAGCCCTGAAGATCTGTAGTGTGGTTGAACAAGATGGCAGCAGGCTCCTGTGTTGAGTATTATTTCAGCTTATAAGGAAACCATACCTGAAGCCAATATGCACCATTCCATAAATGAATTGAACATTGCAATGAAGTCAGATATTTGGACTGAGTCTTTTTTCCCCTTCAAGAAAAGTGTAGGAAAAGCAGAGTAAGAATAAGGAGTGAAGAGGGAGATAAAGCCTATTCAGAGTACGAGAGGTGGACAGATGTACTTGCTGAGATGGAAGCAAGCTATAGAAATAAACATTGTGAGAAGTATTTGGAAATTGTAAAGGCTACCTTTGTGGGTGAATAATCAGAAAATACGAGAGAATGACATGAATAGTATAAAATGGAGTTAACACTGATGATGTGTTTTAAGCAGTGGTGAGCACTGATAAGGTGGATAGTTATATTTAACTAGATTCTTTTTAAAATTGTGAGTATTGCTGAAATAAGGCCATAGCCTCATGACACAGAACATAAAGATGCAGGCTAGCTTCAGGGTACACCATTAGGAAACCAGGAACCTCTGCTGCTCATATTTGAAAAAGCACTGTAAAGAACACTGGCAAAATGCAGAAAGGATTATCTCAGACTTCTAAGTCTGAGTATATTTGCAATGGAGACATCTCCAGACACCACCTAAGTGTCACAATTAATGTCATCATTAAAAGACAAAGAAAGCTGTACATTCTGAAGTCAGACACAGCAGAGAAGTCAGTTAGTCAGTCACATAAGCCAATCATGTTTAAGAGTGGAGTTCTCCCTTCTGTTGTGGAATATGACTTTAACTAGGCAGAGATGTTTTTTACATTTATGTATACTGCAGAATATCGCTTTCACTGTGCAAAGGTGTGTTACATTTGTTTATGCTACACTTGTTTAGTTGTGTAAAGATGTGTTGCTGTTTCACCTTGTCTGCCTAAGGCACCTGATTGGTCTAATAAAAAGCTAAAAAGCCAATACCTAGGCAGGAGAGAGATAGCCAGGGCTGGTAGACAGAAAAAAATAAGGAGATGAAGAAATCTAGGCTCAGGAAGAATGAAAGAGAAGAGAGAGCAAGGAAGGAAGAAAAGTACATGCCTGGGGCCAGAAGCCAGGCAGACACCAGCCAGACATGGAGAAGCAGTGAGAGTAAGACACACAGAAAGAAAGGGGGAGAGGGGGGGAGAGAGGGGGAGAGAGAGGAAGGAGGGAGGGAGGGAGGGAGGGAGGGAGGGAGGGAGGGAGGAAGGAAGGAAGGAAGGAAGGAAGGAAGGGAGAGAGAGGGAGAGAGAGAGAAGGAAGAAAGAGAGAAAGGAAGGAAAGGCAATAAGCTCCAAGGCAAAATGTAGATAAAGAGAAACAGATTAAAATAAGAACTAAGATGAAGCCAAGCATTCATAACTAATAACACGTCTGTGTCATGATTTGGGAGCTGGTTGGTGGCCCTAAATAAAAACCCTGTTATACCCTTCAACACTGCTTAAGCACAATTAACTCATAAGGAAATAGATACACTTAAATCAAAATACATCCAGTCAACATCCCATTTTATGTCTCCAAAGAGTCTTAGTTACAAAAGATACTATGAAATATTATGGAACTATTGAAATTAAATGATATAAATAATAAAGAAAATTTGTTATTCTTGATTAGATCTTGGACCAGAGGAAAAAAATTAAAGGAATAATACTGAACTTTGTATTAAAATATCTATTTATTTATTAATTTATTTATTTATGTGTATGTGTGTCCCTGCATGTATATGTGTGCCATGTGCATGCAGGAGTTCAAAGAGGTGAGTAGAGGCTTCAGATCCCCTGGAACTGAAGCTGGAGTTACAGACAGTAGTAAGCTGCCATGAGGAAGCTGGAAACTGAACCTAGATCTTCTGCAAGAGCATCAAGTGCTCTTAAACACTAAGCTGTAGTCAAAAGCTTTCCTGTGTCCTGCAGCCGCTCAGTCCCAAGTAAACACACAGAGGTTTGTATTAATTACAAACTGTTTGGCTTATGGTTCAGGCTTATCATTAACTAGCTCTTATAACCCATTTCTATTAATCTATGTACAGTCATGTGTCTCATGGTTTTACCTGTGTTTCATTACATCTTGCTTCCCTGGGTGGCTCTCAGTGTCTCCTCTGACCCTACCTTTCTCCTTCCTGTATCTCTGCTTGGATTTCCCACCTGCCTCTAAGCTAACTTGCCATAGGCCGAAGCAGCTTCTTTATTAAACAATGGTAGCAATACATATTCACAGCATACAGAAAGGCCATCCCACAGCACTTTCCCTTTTCTGTCTAATCAAAAAGGAAGGTCTTCATTTTAACATAGTAAAATTACATATAACAAAACAGTTATCAATCAAGAATTACAATTATAATATCTAGTCTATTTGTATTTGGAAAAATTAAAGAAAATATCCTATCATCTATCCTATTTTTGTGAGTCTTGTATCTAATTTACCTTTTATCATAACTAAGGAAAGCTATAATTATAACTATCAGTCTTCAACTCCATCAAAGACCCCAGAAGGATATTACCTAAGTAAAGAGAAAGTGCATTGCAAGAAACTTCATAATTCTAGAAATGACAGAGACAGCTGGTGCCTAGACAGTCACCCAATATTCTTTTGTAACATTGGGTCATTCATCTTCAGCCTATAGGCCTAGAGTATCTGGCAGACTTTTCAGTGAAGCAAGAAATTTGAAGGACTGTTCTGCCTAATGGCAAAGTTCATGTCGCTTTTTTCTGTGTCCTGCAGAATGTGTGGCAATATCTTCTGTGAAGCAGGAACCTGAAGGACCATCTCACCTTGATTTGACAAAGTTCAGTGGTCACTTTCCTATGGGTCCTGTATGTCCAATTTATACAACATACTGTCAAGCAGTCCAGGCAAGAACAGTTTCTTGCCCAAGTGACTAGCCTTTTCCACATTTTAAGCAAACTTCATAATGAGTTTCTCCAATGCCCATAATCCTCTTTGAAGTAATTGGTGCTGCCAGGAGCAGACATGTTTCACTGTTCATAAAGGTCTGTTATTAAAACAATTTAAATGCCATATTCTGTAGGTCTTTGACGTGTTTGGAGATTCCATACCTAATTAAAATATATCTTTGTTTACCTAGAAAACTTAACTAACATGACTATAAGTTTATCATAAATGACTATTAATCTACATTTCTTAATGACTATTACAATTTTAAATGAGTTGTATAAATATAATACCTTAAACAAGAGTAGAAATATACATACAATATAACAAAATTGACCTTAAATTTGTATCAATAAACCAAAATCCATACCAAATATAAAGTATTTTGAGATTAACAGTTGTTTTTTTGGATTAAGTAGACCCAATAATCTACCTTTTTTTCATCATTTCTATATCCCTCTTTTTTCTTTAGAAAGAGATTGGCTATAACCATTAATCATTTATAGTCAGCTCCCTTTAACTGTAGATTGAAATTTTTTCTGTGTCCTGCCTGGCTAGCTCAGTTGGCAGAGCATGAGACTCTTAACCTCAGGGTCATGGGTTCATGTTCCACATTGGGCACCAATTGTAGATGCTAGTTCTGTCTCATCTTGTCCAGCAGCCATTCAATCCCAAATAAACACACAGAGGCTTATATTAATTACAAGCTGTTTGGTCTATGGCTCAGGCTTCTTGCTAGCTAGCTCTTTCATCTTAAATTAACCTGTTTCTATTAACCTATGTATCACCATGTGTCTCATGGCTTTACCTGTGTTTCATTATATCTTGTTTCCCTGGGTAACTCTCAGCATCTCCTCTGACTCTGGTTTCTTCTCCTTGTCTTTCTGCTTGGATTCCCCACCTGGCTCTATTCTGCCTTGCCATAGACAATAACAGCTTCTTTATTAACCAATGGTAATAACACATATTCACAGCATATAGAAAGACCATCCCACAGCACTGAGCCTTCATTCCAACCTTCAATACTGAAAATTGAATATGGACTATATATTAGAAATAGGTTTATATATCCCTGGTGAAACTCCTGGGTGCTACCATTATACTATGACTACATACCAAGAATGCTTTAGTTGTTAGACATGCTGAAGTGTTTGCCAAGCTGACCAGTCTTATAATCCAATGGTTCAACACACACACACACACACACACACACACACACACACACACACACACACAGTGCCTGGGTCTGGAGATATGAGTCAATGGGTAAACCTTGCTGTACAAGTGTAAAGACCTGAGTTTGGATTCTCAGAACCCCGTGTAAAAATCAGATGCAGTAGTACACATCTGTAATCCAAATCAAAAGAGAAAGAGACAGGAAAATGTCAAAATATTCCCAGGCCAGGTAGCCTGATATACACAGTGGTAGACAAGGAGAAACTGCTTCAAGCAAGGTAGAAGGCAAGAACTAACACCATGGTTGTCCACTGACCTCCACAGGAGCACTTTGGAACACACAAGCTTGCATTTACATGCACACACGCACACACACACACACACACACACACAAATGTACACATGTGTGTACATTGTGTATATTCACATATGCATACAAATATTTCAAAACACT